TTGTTTTGTTTTATTGTGTTTTATTTTATTTTGTTTTGTTTTATTTTATTTTATTTTATTCTGGTTTGTTTTGTTTTGTTCTATTTTGTTTTATTTTATTTTATTTTGTTTTATTTTTTAATTTTATTTTATTTTATAGCCACTGAATATCCTCATGGTTTACCCTGAGAGGGAAGACCTGAAGATCTGTGACTTTGGGTTTGCTCAGAAGATCACCCCCTTTGAGCCTCAGTACAGCAAATACGGCTCCCCGGAGTTTGTTGCCCCAGAAATTGTTTCTCTGTCACCGGTGTCAAAAGCCACTGATATCTGGTAATATCTGCTCATCTCTCATCTTCCTAAAAAGCTTTTTCAGGCCCTTGATGGCCTGAATTTCCATTTACTGTTAATAAGTAAATGGAGCAGTGATAATTACCCAGGAAGCTGGAAGTGAACCCTGAGAATCCAAAAGCCATCAGGGCCCTTTAAAGCTCCTTCTGTCTATTTTTTGGTTTTTTTCCAGCCATAATTGAACTCTGACAGCTCATTGATGTAAAGGAGCATCTTAGAGGAGATGATCTCTATTAGAGGCAGCAACAAGGGAGAATGATCCTAAAGGGCTTTCTAGAAAAGGCAAACAAACTCCAAAAAAAAAAAGTATTATGAGCCCTTTCCTTTGTCTGTGCTTTAAAATTGGAAGGTGGCTTGAGAACAATTTTAAAAAATATTGAAGGGGAAAAAATACCTGAAGGGTGAAAAAAACTTTGGGGATTTATTTTTCTTGCAAAGGTGAGGAAAAGGGGGTGTCCAGTGGCAGGAAGAGGGGCTGTGTGCTTGAGAAGGATGGATAAATAGCGACAAACGCCTGACATTTGTGCTCCCTTTCTCCTCAGGGCTGTTGGAGTCATCACGTATTTAAGGTAAAGAAATCTTCTTTTAAAGACTCATTTAACAATCCTTTGTCCATCAGAGCCCTCCAGTGCCTTCAAGTGGGGGATTTGAGTGGAACAGTGAGTCTTTCTATGATAAGGACAATTTATTTTGTGTTTTCCTCCTTTCCTGGGTTCCCAGGGCTTCGGTTGTTCTCCCTGAGAGCTGCATTCCTTGTAGTTCACAGTGGGAGCAATGGATGAGGTTCAGTCTCCCCCTTTCCTGTTTTAGCCAACACCCCACTGTAACTGTGCCTTAATTCCTTATCTTACTATTATCCCAAATAAATAATCATTCAGTCAAGTGCCATGAAATGCCGGGGTGAAAGATGACTTGTTAGTGGACACCTTGCTCACAAGCAAGTCCCACCCACGGAGTCCCTCAAATACCTTTAAACCCCAGGAGGGCACTTGTGCTTCTGCCATTTGAACAGCAAATCAAAGTCTAAAATCTGTCTCCTTTTATTTTGTGGTGTCCAACAAACAAGCCTCACGTGCAAGTCTCCGTTTGCTGGGGAGAACGACAGGAAAACCCTCCTGAACATCCAGAGCGGGGAAATTTCATGGACCATTCCCGACGTTGTTCACTTGAGCGAAGATGCAAAGGACTTCATGAAAGGGATCCTGCAGCAGAACCCCAAGTGAGTGTCCTCCTGTGATTCCTTCCTTATCTGAATCCCAAGTGAGCATCCTCCTGTG